TAGAATCATTTACTCCTCATGATAGTCTTTGCTTATGGGTCTTTTTTTTATTAATTGTACTAGTAATCATTTGATCAGTACATTTAGTGGACATTTATATTCTTTAGCTCTAGAAGATTAACTTGTATGCTTTTGTTGGTTGTTTCTGTTCTGTTTTCTCTCTCTTGTATTTTTATTAGTCAGATTTGGACCTTTTTGGATTGAGCCTCTAGAAGTTTTTTTTTGTGTGTGGTTTTAGTTCCTTTTGAAGTGTCTATTGTTATTTTAATGGGACTGGAGGGGGTTAACCTAAGCACTGATGTGATTAATCTGTGTTTTATAACATATTTTAAAGTGCAGTTATTTTAAAAAATTCTAATCTTTTTTGTCAGGTAGCAGGATAGCACTACTTTGTGTTAGTAAGCACTACTTCTTACATTCTGCCTGTCTTTTGGTGGAGGAGCAGGCATCTGGAATGTTTTTAAAAGGCAAATGAGTAAAGGTGAGCTTGTCTGCTTTTAAAAAGCAAGTTTCATGCCAGATAGACTAAATTTTTTCCTAATCTAAAATCAGTACTATTGTAAAACTTGTGATTTGTTTTAGATAAGCATGTATGTAGTTCAATCTAAAATGACCTACTTCCAAATCTGTTCCAAAAGAGAATCATGGTATTTTATAGCTGAAACTGACATCATAATCTAGTCTTTTCAAAGTAACAAGTAGTAACTGAGTCCTTGAGAGTATCTGATTTATTGACAGCCAGATAAGAGCAGAGCTTGAAGAACTCAAATGCCCTATCTTTTCTATTCTCATTATTTTCTAGAAACTCTACTTTATCTTTAGTCGTATGTTCTCCCAAAGTAGTCAGCCACAGTCTCAGCAAATAATTTTATTTTCTGAATCTCAAACAGATTAGTCTGTGATCGCTTGTCTTATACCTAAAGTAACCCCTTCCCTCCCCCCTGGCTTTCCTCTGATGCTTTAGTTGTGGAGGCGACTATCAAGTTTATTTGCCTCAGTTGTCTGCAGTTAGTCTATACATAGCTCATCTAGGCAGATGACATAGCACCTTGACTATTTTAAAGGTGCCATGTTATTGAGAACTGAAGCCAGTATACATTAAACTATTAGAAGGAACACTTTTAAGTGTTTTAGGATTCTTTGACTTCAAGTGACAAAAACTCAATTTGAACAAACTTAAATAACAAAAATGTGAATTTACTGGTTACTAATTAAACCATGTAAGAAAGCAGGACTGACTGGAATTGAGGACTGTCATTTCTGCTTCTTTCTGCATGCTGACTTCATCCTTCCATATAAGCATACTCCATGCGCTGTGAGACATCCTTGAATGTGTTTCAAACCTCATATATCTGAGATAAGAGAAAAAGAAAGTTCTCTCTTCTGGAATTAGTTTGAAAAATCCAGGGAGGTTTCTGTGTCGTGGTCCTGTTTCTTGAACAAACTCACTGTGGCCTAGAGTGGGCAAAAGTGTTGGAAGTGGCCTAGTTTGTATGTAGGTCAGGTGCTGGGTATGTGGTGGGGAAGAGTTGTTTATTTTCCCTTTTTAATTGAGATGAAGGAATGCTTCTCAGACAAATATGTGATCTAGTATGTCAGGTAAAATAAGGATTTTTGTAAAGATCACCATCAGTCTTTTTATATATGCCTTTATATTTCCCTCAGTTCTACATAAATTTATAATGTCTTCAGATTCTCAAGTTGATAGATGAATTTTCTTTTATTGAGGGGCATAGACAGGCCCCCCTTCCTAACCTGGCTCTTTATCCTCTATCCACTGAAAAATTTTAGAATATTGTGCCTGCAGTTTCTCTCATTTGTAGAGTCCTCAAAGGTCCTAAATTATATTTTGCTTTATCTGAAAGCATTAATATTTTTCACCCATGTAGTTAGAACAACATACAACTTACATTCTAAAATATGTGTGTGTATACATACGTATATATTTTGGCAGTATCTTTTATGTACATATAAAGGTAGGTATTTAGAAATTGAAGCAATTTTATACTTAAGGCACTTATAAGTTTGCTCTGCACTCTTTATCTTGTGTTAGGATTTAAGAAAACTTTTAAATGATTTGTATTACTGTGTAAGGTCATGAATGACAAAAGTTTTAGGTTCACAACAAAATTGAAATGAAAGTACAGAGGTTTCAACACCCCCATCAGAGTGCTACATTTATTACAACTGATAAACTACCTTGACACATCATTATCATCCAAAGTCTATTGTTTACTTTAGGGTCCACTTTTGGCATTGTACTCTCCATGGGTTTTGACAAATGTATAATGACATGTATTCATCATTGGGATATCACACAGAGTTATTTTCACTGACCTAAAAATCCTCTGTATTCCGTCTGTTTATCCTTGTCTGGACCAGTTTTCCACTGTCTCCATGGTCTTGCTTTATCCAGAATGTCATGTTGTTGCACTTACATGGTATGTAGTTTTTTTCAGATTGGCTTATTTCACTTAGTAATATTCATTTAAGGTTCCTCCATGTCTTTTCATGGCTTGATAACTCATTTCTTTTTAGTGTTGAATTGTATTCCATTGTATGATGTACAGTGTCATCTATTGAGTGCATCTTGATTGTTTCCAAGTTTTCGCAATTATGAATTAAGCTACCATAAACAGTCGTGTGGATATAAATTCATAATGTTTCTGTGTCTTGCTTTAATGCAGAAGAATAATGCCCCGAACACCTGCTTCATGGTGACCTACATCAATGTTTTAAGTCTTTATACATTTTACCTGGTAAGAAAAATAAATATACATGAAGTCCACCTACTATCAGGACCTCTCATATCTTTGATGCAGCAACAACCAGCCACAAGATTTCACATATACATTAGGAATAAAGGCATAATATGAAGGGATTAATATTAATATTTGCTTTTCAGACTATCTCAAGTGCTGTCAATATAAAAAAGGATACATTGAAAATAATTCTATCTGTCCAGATATTCATCCCCTTGATCCCTTGAGGCATACTAATAAACTAAGTGTTTTAATTTTGGATTATTTTCTATAATAAATGCTCTGATTTAGGATAATGTGTACAAAGTTTTAATGAATTGCCATTTTCTACTGTGAATTTAAGAAAAGTTGTTGAGTTTTTCCAGTGTGTTCAGCTTTTTGCCTGTGATGATGGAGTGCCAACTTCCCAGCTCCCTATATACACCACCAGAGACTGGAAGTCTGTAGTGTTTTTTGAAAGTATTTATCTTCAGCCAAATTTGGTTTCAACTCTGTTGTTAATTTAAGTGTTGATAAAACTGAAGTTACTGAGGGTTAGAATAGAAAAGATAAGAAGCTAATATAGTGATTCTTAACTCTTTTCAAATTAAAGTGATATTATTTGATCATTTTGTTAACTGCTGCTGCTTCAGTTTTTCTCCCCCTGGAGAAACTTATTATCTAGGGTTGTTGATTCTGACTCCTGAATGTGTGGGAGAGAGGAAACTGGGATGTGGTGCACTTTGAATAGTTAATAACTATTCAAAGTTAATAACTTTAACTTTCAATAACTTTAACTATTCAATAACTTTTGAATAGTTATTAACTATTCAAAGATGATGACAGTTGTTATAGATACGATTTGTAGTTTTAGAAAGTGGGTTTATATTCATTATCTTAGAGTTTCACAGCTACTTAGAATGATTGATACAGAGGTTTGTTTGCTCTTGAGAAATTGAGGAACTGTCTTGTCCACTTTAACTTTTTTTTATTTTTAGTTTTTTAAAGATTTTATTATTTATTTTTAGAGAAGGGAAGGGAGGAAGACAGGGGGGAGATAAACATGTGTGGTTGCCCCTTGTGTCCCCCCTACTAGGGATCTGGCCTGCAACCCCAGGCATGTGCCCTGACTGGGAATCAAACCAGCAACCCCTTGTTTTGCAGGCTGCACTCAATCCACTGAGCCACACAAGCCAGGGCCAAGTTGACATGTTTTAGTAAATAGTAGAGCTGCCATTAAGAAAAAAGGTTCAGAGGCTTGTGTATGTTCTGCTGAACCATAGCTTTCTACAGAACTAGGGCAAGAAGCTGGTGTTAGCAGCATAGCATATGTATCTTTACCATTGCTTTGAATTGTGACTTTGGAAATAATCACTTTTTACTGTGTACTCTCTGGTTTTCAAGTAGATTTTAAAGACTTGGTAATTTATGTCCCATAGTGTCATAACACTTCAAATGCTTTGGAAGAATGGGTCCTTTCATTATTTTTATTTTAATTTTTATTATGGTTTTGCCATTTTAATGTACTTTATCATTTTTTATTTATCATCGTTATCTTATTATTATTTTTTAAAGATTTTATGTATTTCTTTAGAGAGGGGGGGGAAGGAAAGGGAGAAAGAGAGGGAGAGAAACTGTTGTGCAAGACAGACATCAGTTGGTTGCCTCTCGCACACCCCTAGCTGGGGACCTGACCTGTCACCCAGGCATGTGCCCTGACTGAGAATCAAACTGGTGACCTTTTGGTTCACAGATCTACACTCAATCTACTGAGCCACACCAGCCAGGGCTTTATCATTGTTATTTAAATCAGACATTACATGAAAGCCACATTTCACATGTCACATGTTAGAATGGAAGGAAAGAAGAAATTCAGGAAAATAAAAAAAGTAGGCCGGAATTTATACATTCAAATCAATGCTACCTTTCTAAACAGTGACCTTGGGAAGCTATGTAAACTAGCTGTCATTGCTCAAAAGCATCCATTGGATCTTGTATTTTAAATAATGGCTTCATGATTTTATTTGCATCTGTACAGATAGATGTATTATGGAAGATGTATTTATTCAACATGAAAACATTAGTGAACTTAGTCAACAGTTTAGTTGTTGGATTTACATCATACTGATAATTAGTCTTCAGAACATTTTTAGCTAGTGTGTGTAGGTTCAATAGCAGAATTGTTTTTATGAGTATGATTATTGATTAGTTTGATAGAATGGGTTATCTTTGAATTAATGATTGTTTTTTTTCTCCTAGTCAGCAGATAAGCAGCGAGCCCTAGAAGAAACCAAAGCCTATACCACCCAGTCCTTAGCAAGTGTTGCCTATCTGATAAATACCTTGGCCAACAATGTACTGCAGATGCTGGATATCCAGGCATCCCAGCTACGAAGGATGGAATCATCAATCAATCATATTTCACAAGTGAGACAACACTATTTTCCTACTTTGTTTTGAGGAAACACTTAATAAACACAGGCAATCTGTGATGCTGGCAGTCTTTATTATGTGAGTTAACTTGTGTATGAGTTGGAAAGTACAAACTCAATATTACAAAATCAGTGTTTTTTTTTAATTCTGTCTTTTTGTGGAGTGATTATCTTCTCTGATTTTGATAGGGAAGTAAATTTTAATGGTTTCTATTACAACTCAATTGTCATGTTAAAATAATCAGCTTTGAGGTTCTAGCTGGGTGGTTCACTTGTTTGGAGTGTTGTCTTGTACACCAAAAGGTTGCAGGTTGGATTCCCGGTCAGGGCACATACCTAGGTTGCATGTTCCATCCCCAGTCAGGGTGCATATGGGAGGCAATCAATTGATGTTTCTCTCCCCCTCTCTAAAAATCACTAAACATATCCTTAAGTGGGGTGTTAAAAAAAAATCAGCCTTGGGATGAAAATTTTTATTTCTTCTGACTTTTAGCCAATCACACTTTTTATTATCTTTTTAAAAATATAAATGTGATAGCTGTTGGTAGGATTTTTGTTTACCAGCATGGTACCATATCCTAAAATAATCAGTGACCTTATAAAATTATCTTTATATAGAACTTTAAAAAAATCAGTATTCTACTTTTTTATTGTAAAAGTCATGCTCATGAGTATAGAAAGACAAAGAGAAATAGATGGGAAAAAAAACCATTTCCTTACTGCTCAAATTCTTCACTGTAACTGTTTTGATAGATTTTTTCCCAATACTTTTTCTTTTAAATAGTTTTTAAAGTGTAGTTGTGATTATGTTATGTATAGAATTTTGGATTCTGGTCTTTTACAACAGACATCTTTCCGTGATTTCGTATAAGCTCTTCATAAACATTTTCAGTCGCTGCATACTGTTACATGTATATATCATAGCTTTGCTAACCATTTCTCTATTTTGGGGCCATTTAAAATAATTCTGCAATGAAAAGCAAATTTATAATTGCAAAATGCACTTTTCATAACATTCAGAAAATAAAGATTTTGATCTGTCTGCTTCTCTTTCATAGGATCTTTTCAGGTTTTCTATTTTAGCACTTGTCATTTGAATAATGTGGGTAGTATTCAACACCCTTTATAATCCTCACCCAAGGATGTGTTTTTAGTGATTTTTTTTTTAGAGAGAGAGGAAAGGGGTGGAGTAGGGGAGAGAAAGAGAGAGACAGACAGACAGATGTAGATCAATTGCCTCCAGTAGGTATGTGCCCTGACCAAGAATTGAACCTGCAACCTTTTGTTGTACAGGATGGTGTTCCAAGCAACCCAGCCATCGGGCAAGGGCCAGCATCCTTTTTAGACCCAGATAATTGTAACTGTTCTGGAATAAAAAGAGTTTTAAAGTGGGCATATTATCTTTTTAAATATCTTTTAAAATACATATTTAGAGTTTAGGATGCTTCTGACATTGACTAATCCAATAAGTTTTCAAATTCTAAAGTTTAATTTCTGAAATTAAATCAGCTGGAAGCCAGATAATTGGCCCTGGCTGGTGTGGCTCAGTGGATTGAGTGCTGGCCTGCAAACCAAAAGGTTTCCAATTTGATTCCCAGTCTAGGGCACACGCCTCGGTTGCTGGCCAGGTCCCCAGTAGGGGGCACTCTAGAGCAACCACACATTGATATTTCTCTCCCTTTCTTTCTCCCTCCCTTCCTCTCTCTCTAAAAATAAATAAATAAAATCTTAAAGAAAAAAAGAGAAGCCAGATCATTGAATCTGTTACAGATTTCAGTTACATTTCTGTTATTAGAAAATTCATCAGATTGATTTAGAGGAGTTTCATATTTAATGTTATTTAATCTTAAATCTGAATTTGCCACTATAGGGTTTCTTCTATCCCATATAAACTTCTATAGACATTGAGTAATTTATTGCATGTTGTATTGCTGTGTCACTTAAACAAAACAATATAAAACAAAACCAAAAAACTCAGAACACAACAACAAAGAATTGGTGAGGTTTTGTTTTTTTTTTAATTTGTGAATTTTAATGAGAGTCTTTTCATTTTGAAAATACCTCCTAGTGGAAATAATAAGTGGAATTTTAAATGATTAAGAATATTATTAAATGGTTTTCTGTAGAAGGAGATATGTTGATTGATAATTTGATATAGAATTTCAAAGTTATACTTCAGAGACTTAAAGTTTCTGCATGTTTAAAGCCAAAGGACCCAAAAAGATAGAAGGAACTGCAAATGTAGAAGAGAAATAGTATATAATAGTTTCTAAAATGGAGGGACAATTTTTTATAGTTTGTAGGAGTAGGAGAGATTGTGAGGGTGGATGATGACAACAAGCAAATGACCATGAAAGATAATTGTGTATTTTCTGATTAGAATTCTGTAGTTCTTTAGTAGAGAAATGTAGCAGCATTAAGGAGGAGGGCAAATAAGTCTACTTTAGGTTGTAATTTTGTATATTAATTCATTAAATGAGAATTTTTGTTTTGAGTATCATAAATTTATACTTAGTTTATATGGTCTAATTAATACTAGCTTTTAAAGTTGTTATAAGGGAATAAATAAAGCACAATAGAGATGAATGGATAGGGATTAGTAGGTCGGAAATAACAGGAGCCTCAGAGCTGTCAGGTGTGCATGTATGTTGAAGAGTCTTCCTCTGCAGTTGAGTGTTGGAAAGACAATATCTGAAGAGGTGAGAGATCTGTAATTGTACAACAGCTGTTAGGTTTATGCAAAACAGTATGTTGGGTGAGGGGTTGAATAGGGAAAACAAGCAGACGGAGGCTAAATTTATGAAATAAAGAGTAAATTTTTAAAAAATTATGTATTTTTAGCATCTATCCTAAGGATTGAAATTTTTCAATTATATTAATGCACAGAAAGTTCTTTTATTTTGTTTTATTTATCTTTAAAGATTTTAAAAAAGATTTTATTTATTTATTTTTAGAAAGGAAAGGGAGGGAGCTAGAGAGAGAGAGAGAAACATTAATGTGCAGTTGCTGGGGGTCATGGCCTACAACCCAGGCATGTACCCTGACTGGGAATCGAACCTGGGACACTTTGGTTCGCAGCTCGCGCTCAATCCACTGAGCTATGCCAGCCAGGTATTTTTAAAGATTTTTAAAAATTTTATTTTTTATGGAGAGGGGAAGGGAGGGAGAAGGAGAGAGAAACATCAGTATGTGAGAAAAACATCGATCCGCTGCCTCTTGCACACACCCAACTGGGGACCTGGCCTGCAACCCAGGCATATGTGCTGAATGGGAATCGAACTGGTGACGGAGACTCCTTGGTTTACAGGATAATGCCCAACCCACAAAGCCACACTAGCCAGGGCAAGTTCTTTGTTTTAAAAGTCAATTGAATGTCAAAACTATTCAGTGCTTTTTAGGCTGAAAGATTATTCTGTAGTTTAAGAGAAAATATTTTCTGTTTATAAAGCAAATACTCAGTAAATACTCTAAAGCAAGGATTGGAAAACTTTTTCTGTAAAGGGACAGATAAGCCCTTCCTGGTATGGCTCAGTGGATTGGGTGTTGTCCTGCAAACCGAAAGGTCACTGGTTTTATTTCCAGTCAGGGCATGTGCCAAGGTTGTAGGCCAGGTCCCTGGCAGGGGCATGTGAGAGGCAGCTGATCCATGTTTCCAGCATCGATGTTTCTTTCCCTTTCTTTCTCCCTCTCTTCCCCTCTCTCTAAAATAAATAAGTTAAGATCTTAAAAAAAAATAAAGGGACAGATAATATTTTAGGCTTTCTGGGCCACATATGGTCTCAGTCTCATATTGTTCTTTGTATGTATATGTTTTTAAACAACTGTTTAAAAATATAAAAAACCATTCTTAGCTTGTGGGCCATATAAAAGCAGCCTTGAGCTAGATTTGGCATGTAGGCTGTAGTTTGCAGGTTCTTGCTCTAAAATACTGTTTTGTTCCCAAATGCTTGGTATTAAAATTTTATTATTATTATACTTTATTAAAAATATTATTATGTACTTAGTGGGAACCAGAAGGTTCTTAAGATATCTTGAGAGTAGATTTTTTTTTTCAATTTGGGCAAAAATACCAAGTTTGGGGAGTAGAATGAATTGAAGAAACAAAGTAGAGGTTCAGTCAGGTCAAAGATAAGATAACATGCTTTTTGGAATGGTAGTAGGTATCAAGAGTTATCATAATGTTTGTCTGGAAGACTGGTTCAGGACCAGTCAATATTATATATCTGAGCTATTTGATTCCTTTTCTCATCAGTATCCTTTTCCTATCTCCTGGGTTAAGAACCTTATCACATTTCAGCCTCCTAGTGCTCTAGCTCTTTGCTCCATTGTAGGGGAACTGAACACTGAGTAGGACTGGGAGGGAGGGAGGTGAGTGATCTAGGTTTCACCTTGGTTCTTCAGCTGATTTGGATGCCATTTGGCTTCTTTGAACTTCACTTATCTGTAAAATGATAGGACTGATGAGATGATTTCTGAGCTATCTTTATCTTGAATCTTTATTCTTCTGAGATTGCCAAAAATAATACTTGATTTGAATTTACTTTTTTTCTTTCTATTCTGTTGGCTCCACTCTTCACTTCAGTCTGTGCCCCCCTGACCTCAGCCGTCTGTCACTATGCTGTAACTGAACTGGTTCCCTGAGTTTGAATCTAAGGATGGGAATTTCATGACTTTATCAGCTAGGTATTAGGATGAAATACTTCAAAAAAACCCCAAAACAAAGTAATAGCCCATTCTCCAAATGTCAGAATTTTGAAATACAAGACAGTTGATTATGAATATTTAGTATAAGGCATTTTTTCCCGAAAGAACAATATAGTATAAAATAGTGTACTAATTTATACCACTCTTACCATATCCATACAGAAGTACAGGCATACCTTATTTTATTGCACTTCAATTTTATTACTTAAAAAAAAACAGAAACAGATTGAAGGTCTGTGGCAAACTTGTATCACCCAAGTCTGTTGGTGTTATTTTTCCAGTGGGCTAAGA